ATTTTTGTACATGTTAATGCATATACATATTTATGTATATATTACGCTCGATCTTTGCTTCTTGAAAATTTGATTCACAAATTGATTCGCTCAATTGATTTTAATTAATGTTAATTTGAGGCCCGATGGTTCATGTTTGCTCTCCAGTAAACTTATCAGATATACATATACTCTGCTGCAGATATATAATTCCTTTGAAGCATTTAAACTTTCTAGTTTAAATATATAATTTCGCTGAAAGGTTCAATGCATATTAGATATGCAGTAATAATGCGTAAATTGAGGTGTTTAATTAATTGATGTATTTTTAATGTCTAATGGACTCTTGTGGCGTTAATTGTTTTGGCGCTGAGACCACATTTTCACCCGTCAAATATCACACGTAACCGCATGAAATTCTCATTTATCACACCTCTATAAATGCGTTCGCCTGGCTGGCAATAAGGTCACAGTCAAGCAATATTCCTTCGCCATGGAGTCTCGAGATGGGCTCATGTACAACTATGAGGACTTCACTTGGATACCGACCATAAGCTACAGGCTCTGTGGCTTCGATGTCCTCGACACGCCCAACAAGCCGCGTCCTCTCTGGATGAAGCTCTATCACTGGGCCTGCGTCTGCTCACACATCTGCTGCGTGTGCTTCATGTTCCGGCGTATCATTGAGAGGGACACAATCAATAATATCTCGCTGATTATGCGCTACGCTACTCTGGTGACCTACGTCGTTAACTCGGACACAAAGTATGGCACATCGCAGCAGAAGCAAGCTTTCCAGAGGCTAAATGGTAAACTGGCTAAGCTCTTTCCCAAATCCAAGCAGTCCAAGATCGACCATCGAGTCGACGAGTACTACTGGCCACGCCCCACAATTGTGCTGATTGTGGTTTACTATGGATCGTCGGCAATGGTGGTGCTGGGACCTCTCCTGCAATCGGGGTATATCTACCTGATGGAGAATCGCTTTTCTTACGTGCACTGTTATCCGTATTATATATTCGATCCGGAGCAGGATCCGCTGTGGCAATACTTTCTCATTTACGCTTTGGAGTGGCTCCACAGCACCCTGATGGTCATATCGAATATGAGCACCGATCTGTGGCTGGTCAGCTTTGAAGTGCAGATTTGCATGCACTTCGATTATATAGCCCGATCGCTAGAGAACTATAAGCCCAATAGCACGCGCGACCCTAAAGATCGAAAATTCATTTCGCAAATAGTGAACAGGCATAACGATTTGCTAGAGTAAGTATATGCCAAATGGAAGCCTTCAGTAGTGTTCACAATCTCAGCTTATAGACTTCAGGAGGAGATTAACGGCATCTTTGGCAGTTCTCTCTTGTTGAGTCTTCTGACGACTGCGGGTGTATTTTGCACTGTTGCCGTTTATACGCAGATACAGGGACTAAATCTGGAGGGGATCACGTATGTGGTATTTATGTTGACGGCCTCATCTCTCGTCTATCTGGTTTGCTATTACGGCGAGAAGGTTAAGAGTTTGGTAATTATATTACAACCGTTGTATTTGAAGGAATATTCATATTTGGTCCATCTATGCAGAGCACATATATAACAAATGCCGCCTACAATCACAACTGGTCAGATGCTCCGCCGGATTACAAAAAGTCTTTATTGATTATCATCGCACGCGCCCAAAGACCAGCCGAACTGACAGCCATGGGCTATCTACCAGTATCCCTAGACACGTTTAAGCAAGTGGGTAGAGACCAAGGCTACATTGTCTATTGAATACAATGTTTAAATTTTATATTACAGGTAATGACTGTTACTTATCGGGTCTTTGCGCTAATCAGACAAATGATAGAGTAAAGATATAATGTAGTTCTTTTTCTTTTAATATTTATTGCTTAGCACTGCATAGTTCATCTACATACATAAGTAGCATTATCACTTGGGATCTGTAGGCAGCTTGAAACCAACAAGATCTGCCGTTTCTTTAACTGTGCGCTCGCCACTACCATGATACTCTTTGTATAGCTCGTTGTATTTGCGCAGACTGGTCAGATAGGTTAAATAGGTTTGGCCCAAGAAGATTGCCTCGTCGCGAGCCTTGCATAGCTGCTGATCGGTTGTCTCATATTTCTTATATTGCGCCAGAATATAACGCGCCGCCAAAGAGTCTTTAATTTTGCCGGGCGAGTGAGAAGCTAGCCGTAGCTCGTGTAACAGCGAGCGTAGAACTTTAGTTCCCGCCATTTAGTAAAATCTTTGCTTTGACTTAAAATCCAAACAAATAGCAGATATTCACGATTATGTGATTGCCGAATAAATAATATAAAACAGCTGTTTAATTTGGAGCTGCCAGTCGGTCGACTATCGGATTTCTGTACGATTGTGGCTGCGATACATTGCCATTCTAAAAATGTGGGCTGAAAATTTTTGTATACCGCGGCAAATT